GCCTGTCGATAAATTATAGATCAATAACAACTAAACAGTTTAATTTGAATGAATCCGTATTGAATGTCCAGTGGCTGACAGCTTTGTTTGAATACAGAGAGCAGTGTAAATCAGATGTTTCTGACAGAATATTATCCAGAGGTAGATTATTGTAAAGCAGAACATTTCCTCTTTGTTGAAACACAGTGGAGCTGTATTGATTTCGTTTCTGTTTCCTTGCCTGTCATCGCTCTCTCACTTGGAAACCGACTATTCGACTGTTTTTGACAGAGCGGACGGTTCAGGCTTCACGGTCAGACACACACAGTTTTTATCATTGTGAATGTTTGGATTTAGTCACACAACTAATCACAAGTAAGTAGTTCTGTCAAAGCCTAAAATGCATGAACACTTTATGGTCATTTCAAAATACATTCATACAGGGCATCTATGTGCAGCACATTCCCAATCATAAACAATTATGCTTCAGTGTGCTGAATGGGGGTTCGAACCGCCGACCTACTGTATAGTGCACAACCTGCACTCAGCCACAGCCGTTCATTAATCACGCTTACCTTTTCATTTTGCTTCTCTGAAACAGTTCCACGGAGAATGACGCTTTCAAGTTCTTTTTTATTAATACTTTTATTGTTACTTGCTCACATCCACAGAGAACTCCACACTGCTCAGCTTTGTGCAGTTTTTCAGGCTCAGTCAGCTCATTATCTTGGTGCAAACTCTGCACTCATCAGTCTTATTTCCAGCCCACAGCAGCCAGGGTTAGGGTCGGGGTCGAGGGTGAGGGCAGGCAGCTGTTTTCAGAGTAACGTCTCTAAAACCCCACAGTTCACTACCCGCTCAGCAGCAAACAGCAGACAGACACAGTCAGAGAGCAGCTGGTGAACATGGTGGAGTTAATCCATTTTTTTTTTTTTTGTTCATCACTTTAGAGCTCGACGTTATCATTCTTTATGTGTGCTTTCTGGAGGGTTTCATACTTTTCATCGTGTTAACTCCTGAAAATCGATGTATAAGTTATGTATAAATGATATGAAAACTTCAGATCAGCAGTGTTTCAGCTCATATGTGTCTTCAAACTATATGTGTCTTTTCAGGCTTTATTTCAAAATACTCCACGGATGCTGCATTGTACTCCTATAATAGTATTGGGCTCAGAATGAGCATGCCACGCTAATTATTACTGTACTTTATTCAGCCAGTGGGTAGAATCCTATGACTTTCTGTTATGTAATGTTATTTTAACATATTTTTCATTAGCATGGCTTTAAGACAAAGGCAAGGGGTTAATTGTAATGAAGCTGTAATGAGTCTGTTGTAACGACATCACAATATATATAAAATCTGTACCCAAGTATTGTGATAGTTTTTAAATTAGGAGACAAGAATTGTAGGCTGGAGCTTTGAGCGGAGATGAGAATCACCCTACAGAGGATCTTAACTACCAGACTTTTCATTTTCCAACTTTTAGTCTTCACATTCAGCTGACACTAACTCAAATGATATTGAGGCCATTCATCAGACTTCACACAGCTCTCTCTGAAGACACAAACACAATCCTAACTCCGAGGAAATGTGTTTGGCCTTTAGATCCATCTGTAAGTGTACTCACCAGGTTCATTTCTCACATCTTTGAAATTGTCCCTTCCAAATAAGGAAGGTGGACATCCTGCGCATTGAACTGCGGTGGTCGAGACGTCTCACAGAAGCACTTCAGCGAATCACGCAAAGGTCACAACATGAATGCAAAAGCCACACATTGGGAACACAACCTGAATGGAAGTGAGCGACAATCAAACAAGCGGTCGTCAAGTCCTGGACGTGAGAGTCAAGTGAGCAGTTGTTTGTGAAAACCTGGAGAAGCCAGAAAACGAGATGCTTGTCTATTTGAGGTGTTGGGGTGCAGGTGCTTGGAGCGAAAAACAGCAACACAACTGTACCGTAACACCTCAAATAGACAAGCATCTCATTTGAAGCTGCGACTGATTTGACTGGGTTTTCACAAATGACAGTTGACTCGGCAGCACTAACTCTGCTCATTCCACGGTCGGCATCTGTGCTCGCTTATTTCCGTTGTGTGTGTTTTGAGGTTGCGTTGCCACTGTTGCATTCATGTTTCCCATTAATGTGCCTGCGTGAGATGTCTTGACCTCTGTATTTAACGCCCTCACCTCCTGTTTCGACTTGTACTCACTGTAGTTGTGCACACGGTACTTCTTCAGCAGCGACAATTGAGGGTTCTGCTTTGTTTTGTTGTTGGTTTTTGCTCTCACGTATTTTTTTCACCCAACTTAGTTCTTTTTTTTTCCCTGCGAAATTTAGAATGCATGTGATCCAGTGTAAATAGACGAAATTCCAACATAATTAAAATGTCATTAACCATAATGAATCACACAGTGTAATTACTTCATTATAATAAGAATGATTAACCATCATAAAACTGTTCATTAGAACATAAACAGACGGGATCTTCCACTGCTCGCCACGATGTTATGGCCTTTTTTTAAAGTTGAGTCACCTGTGTTTTACCAGTAAAAGGSGGGGGGGGGGGGGGGGGGGGGCAGTGTATTGTTTTGTGCTCTAATTGTTGTGCTCAGTCGTCACCTTGATGGCAGATCTGTGGTCTTTGTTTTGCAGCCTTTCTAAAGGCTGCCTGCTCCAATAGGCTCTCATTAATCTTCCTTACAACCTTCATTAAAGCTGCCACCTCTACACCCATGCCCGCACTCGGGGTTCCTATCTCCTCCCTAATTCCTATCTCCTCGACCTTTATCTCTGCCCAGCATGCCTTCTATAATCTGTCACCCTGAAGCCCACGTACATCCCTCCCCTCTCGTCCCTTCGCCTTCTGAACTTTTCTTCTTTATTTCTCCCCACCTCCTGTCCTTTTTTATACCTATTGTCTAGTGGCCCGGAAACATTTTAATTCACACGAGCGGAGTGTTCGATTCAATTTTTACCCATGCCACTTGTGTGCGCTCCGAGTTTGTTGATGACATAAAAGCCCGTTCTGTGCGAGGATTATGTTTCTGCTGGATCCGTGTTGAACTAGTTAACCCTGAAGTGTCTGACATGATCTTCTGATGGTCTGTGAACGGCACAGAATCCAAGAACTGCAGGTCATCAGCAGATCGTGACTCAATGACCTTCTTATCTGCAACTAAAACCACCAGCGACCAATGGCAAAAAATGATTTGTTATTAAAGCTGCAATCCTAATATAGCATGACTGTAGTGAGTGTGCCACACTGTGATGTTTGGTTTAGATCACTATCTGATCGATGCATGGCTTTGAAAACATAATAGTTACTGTTTATTTACCTTGTCTGTGTCAAATCAATACTGTTGGTACGGTGTAGGTACAGCACCGGTGTAGATACCATATAAGTAGGGCTTAGACATTTAGATAGATAGATAGATAGATAGATAGATTACTTTATTCATCCCGGAGGGAAATTAAGTCGTCATAGCAGCTGGTATATT